GGGGTGCAGGTGCAGGTGCAGTGTAGTTGGTGAAGGTGGGCGTGATGCAGATGGACTAGACATACACTAGAGTACAACTCTAGTGTGCGTGTGTGCGATGTGGAGTAACACTTGGGGTAAAGACCTGAGGTGTTGTGGAGCAAATGTGCGGCTGGTGCCGGATCTCTCCGAGTGAAGACTCGTGAGGGATGGAGGGTAGATGGGGGCCAGTTACAAGCCGGGGCTCATAACCTATTGTCGTGATACGACTACTGGGCTGCGCGAGCGCAAACTGGCGAGTGGCACGCGGGCACGATCTAATACACACGGTGTTAGTCTGAGTGCGAAGGGAAAGAGCACGCTGTATAGCTATGTACCTAATACACACGGTGTTAGCTAGATAGGGGTCCGGTGAGCATACTACATAATGCGCAAGGGCGACGAAGGAGACTTACTCTGAGTGCGAAGGGAAAGAGCACGTAGAGTGGGGATGCGAGAGGAGTCCTTATATACTAAAAGGAAGCAAAATTGAAGGTCCGCTAGAATGGGGAAGCCTGCCATAAAGAGGTCCGTGCGTGGGAGCACTACATATGATTGTCCAATCACTATCTACGTATTAGCAGCGCCTAATCTAAGATGTCCACCTTAAGTCCATGCCGGGCGGAATGCCGAGCCAGAGCCACTAGGCGCTTCAACAGATTATGTCCACACGAGATTGTCTCATTAGCAAACAAGAAACCTGTCTGATAGCGAACCGATGATCACGAACCTGGTTTTTGCCCTATTACACTCCAGATATCTTTCCGGTCACCTGGACTTCCTCTGATTTCTTTACGACGGCAGTGAATTCCGGGGAGTTGCGTGCTACAGCGTCGCGGGAGGGAGGCGGCAATGCACGTCTGCAAGAATCAGTCGATGCTGCTGCATACATGTGCATGAAACATATCGACCTAAATGATGAGATCCATCATTAAGCTTTCGTTAATATATCAGCCTCATAATCCACACGACCATCAAAGCCCTCAAAGATCGACATCGCAGCGGCAATAACAGGTCCACACACAGTTCCCGACTCTACTTGACCATGACGAGATACATGCGAATGCATGCGTACTGCCGAGAACGGCCAACACCTATAGGACTTCTTAGCCACTATGTATCTCCTTGACGTGGTGGGCACTGAGCGTACGAGGGTGTCCTAGAACTCAAACCAGTCACTGCCATCGACATTAGTCTTAAGCTTTCCACCTGCCGCTTTCATAAGCGATTTGAAGACTTGTTCGTCCTTGCGACCGAGTTACAGTGCCTTGCGGAAGGTTCAAGACATTGTCGCGAGACCAATATTGATCGAGATACACGGGAGATGATAACCGGGATCTGCAATACAACCAGCGCCAGTCCGCACTGAGAAGCACGTAATATTTGCTACTTGCATGGACGTCGCTATCTTTACGCCTGCCGTCCGGTGCACCATCGCGTTGGCAAGCACGGACGCACAAGATTGCAGGCGTTGCCGTCCTTACAAGCTCCCCAGTAAGCCAGATTTTTTTTTGGGTAAAAGTGCGGTAGTGCAGAAAGTACATCAAGCACGAGCACAAGCGCGTCGGAAGGGGAGGAAGCCCTGGACACTCTCGCAGAGCCAATAGTGACGGAAGGATGATACCAGTCGTAGCATCATTTTATTCAAATCCTCGGACTACTTGAGTGGCAGAAGCGTCGGCAGAGACGCTTAAAATTCTTTGACCTCAAGGACAGAAGTGGTAGCGTACGCGCTAGAGCCTCGAAGGACGACAAGAACTCACTTGTAGGGACGAACGCGCATCTTTGCATATAGAATACCCCGAAGCAAGCGATTAACAATTTATGCCACGAAAACACTTACGCAATCGCGTCAAATTCCCGGAACAATGCAGACAAATGCCCGAATCCGACTAATGTCCTCGTATGCGAGATCACTGTGCTATCACCGCGAATCAGCGGTAGACGTCGAGTAACAGTCATGAGTTGATACTTCGGGCCGCACCTTGTGTCTTCAGCGATGGTGATGCGCTGGTCGTAGGATGTTTCACCATAGCTGGACGTGCACACAGATCAATGCATCAGTCGTCTAGGTATATCCCGCTTTCATTCACAGATAACCGTGATCATCTCGTCACGACTAGGAAATATCATCAGCAGTCAACAGCTTCATCAAGCAGTGCATCACAAACGTACAGACCTAGTTAAATACACTGGGCCAAAAGTTTACTATTCCATTATGCACCGACTGCGTTCTTGACCACCTCAACCTCCTCCGGCTTGAGCTGGTTCACGACGGCAGCGAATTCAGGAGAGTTACGGGATGCCGCATCGCGGAGGAAGGCCACAACATGCGCCTACGGCGATCGTTCAACGATGCTATACACGTGTGTTCGTAAAGATGGGGGACGTACCTGCATATTGACCTGGATGATAGGATCCTTCATCAGATCCTCATCATCGCCCTCGTAGTAAGTACCATCATCGAAGTCCGCGAAGCTCGGCATTCCAGCAGTGATACCGGGTCCACCTGCAGCTCTCGACTCAGTTCTGGTCAACAGCAGACACCACGATACATACCGCTGAGAGCAGCAAATACTTCCTGTGAGACTTCCTGTCCACCGAGCATCTCCTTGACGTATGCTATCTCGCCCGTGTTGAGCGCACCAGCAGGCTCGAGACGTGCGGGGACGTCTTCGGCGTCGGACCAGTCGTCGTCACCATCATCACTTTCGAGATCGCGGTCGACATCGTGCTGGCCAATGCCGCCGTAGCCGAGCGACGCTGGCTCCCCGTCGGACTCCAGTTCAGCGAGGACGAGCTTGAGAGCCTTGATTGGGAAAGGCACGGAAGTGAACTCAGTAGGCACTGTCAGAATCAAAGAGTCAGAAGGGCTTGACGCAATGAGATCGCAACGGAGCCACACTCGGCCATACTTTGTTTCGTGCGCGAGCGGGTCATGATCACTGCCACATACGACCCAACGTCAGCGCCCATCTCGTGTCAACCGCCCAGCTGCCGAACGCATGCCACATTCGGCGAGTGAACAGTCGCACTCACCATTCCTTGTCTCGGCACGCACGATGAGCTCGCCCTTTACCGTGACATTCCGCAAGCGCTCACCGCTCTCCATGAAAGACGCAACGAAGAGGTCCATAAGCGCAAGTGTGCTGACGCGGCTTGCCCAAAGACCTTGAATTGTCTCTGCGTTCTCCGTCCAGGTCAGCAGAAGCACTTCGAGACCAGACTTGTTTACCCCAGAAACTGGGACCGCGATGCCTTGCAAGAGGTTAAGAACGGTATCGCGGTGGCCAGTATGGATAAGGTACGCGAAAGGGATAACCAGACTCTACAATATATTCAGCGCTAGTCCCAATATAGACGCCCTTGTGGAACTGAACAAACCTGCACGAATGTTGCCGTCTTCACTGTGGCCATGCGGCGCACCATCGCCTCAAGGAGCTCGGGAAGAATGCGTACAATCGCATCGCCCGCACGGCGCATTAGATGAATGATGAGGTCGCCGATGAACAGGCTGCCAGACTCGTCAGATGACTGCAATTGCCACGCGATGAGTTCGAGAATATGGTCGAGTCCCGTCTTGCCCGCGCGGTCCTGCCATGCCACGATCTGTGGCGTATCCTTGCGCACAAGCAGCGTCAGAGCCGTGATTGCGTACTGGCGGACCACTGTCAGCGTCCGCAAGAAATACGTATTGCTCGATTAAAACAGACCTGGATGGCATCCCGATCCTGTACCTGCCTGATTTTGGTGAAGAGCACAGGGCCAAGCTGGGCGACGAAACCTTCGCCGACGCCACCCTCTGTGGGAGCACCCTGCAGCAGACCGCACAGCTGCTCGAGCGCTGCACTCGCCAGGAAGCGCTCTTGGCCCTCAGTCGCGGCATTGGCGAGCGCGGTGCACAACGGTGCGAGCGTCTGCCGAACAACGGTAGCGTATACACCAGGAGTAGGGACGGAGGCGAGGCGGGTAAGCAGTGCCGAGGTGATCGCCATGAGATGTGGGTCTGGACCATGCAAGGCGGATTTATCAGGGATCGTTAGATGCATGTATCTTACCGGTCAGCGACATGACACATACCCTGTACGCCCTTACCCCAGACATTCAGTATTGCGGGCACGACTGTCTCTGCGAGTTCCACGGTAAGCCATGCGCCCTTGTGAACAAGCAGCAGCGCAGAAAGTGCATCAAGCACAAGCGTAAGCGTGTCCGAAGAGGTTATAGGAATGAAGCCCTCGATGCTCCTACAGATCCTCGGCGCACGTGGGAAGACCTCGGAGTCAGAGCAGTTTTTGCAGAACCTGTGGTAGCGAGAGGCCAGTCAGAATCACGATGCCGCTTTATCGGAAGTAACTTGTACCCTTGGACTGCCCGGATAGCAGAGACTTTGACGGGGATGCTAACCTCCTTGGCCTCAAGAACGGAGATGACAGCGTCAATGTATTGTCCCGCGACAGAATCGGGAAGGACAGATGAGAACTGACTCGCGAGGACGAATGCACGTCCCTGCATGAAGGAATACTCTGGGGAAGATAATCAATAAAATGCATGAGCGCACATATGCAAACACGTACGCGACTGCGTTAGAATGCCCGGCACGACGCTAACAAGTAGGTGGTTCAAGTCCAAACTCGGCTGACGCCCAGCGGTCTTCTCGTCTTCGAGGACCTCTAGCACAGTCGCAGCAACTGCACCGACGGCTGTGAACGCCGCTTCGAGCGGGCGCCACCATTCCTCATTGCCTGTGCTGTTCGCCTGGCTCGACTTTGCAATGACGTTGGCGAGGTTCCTCTGGATGGCAGGCAGCACGCGCTGAGGGTAGCGGTCGACAAGAATATCGAGCAGGTCGCAGGATGCGACGCGCACGCTGTAAAATGTCGACTCCTCGGATTCTTGTGCGACGAAGGCGTTGGCGTCTGATGCCCACTCTGTCTCCTATGTCACGATAAGCACAAGACAAAGTTTGGCGAGCCTCTGAACATACCTCATCAGCAGTCATCTCCGTCCAGTTGAAAATATTCTCAGTGAGTTGGTGGAGATTTGCTTCGTTGAACCAGTCTTTGCCCTTTCCGCGTGCTGTAGTCGCCAGGAAGTCGAGGGTCGAGCTTGCGAGCTGTGAGAGCTCAATCTTTTCGTCTTCGGAAGAGAGGGGCACCGCGTCGGTGGCAAGAACGTAATGCTGGTGGAAAGTGGGGAAGAGATCGTGCAACTGCCCGAGCGATGCGGTGAGAAAATTTGAAATGTACGGCGCAAGAGCACGAGGGAAGGCAGTATGAATGATGTCCAGGGCCTACTTCGCGTTAGTAGAAAGTCCATCTTACTGAAGTGAACGCGATGCACCTTGACAACCTGAACCCTGATAGCTAGACCATCCCAGTTTGGCTTGTTCTCCACGTCGAGCTTCGGATCAATGTTCAGCAGCACGCGGAATGCATCCAGCCAGACAGGGAGCACAGACGAAGCTGCCTCTTTCACGGGTTCTGGGTGTGCATCCTTGACCATGTAGAGTGACTCTACGCATTGCCTAAAGACAGCAACTGTCCTAGCGCGCGTAAGAGGTGAATGGTGCTGATGCATCTCCATTGTCAGACCAGCAAAGGGTGATGCGGACACGAGTGTGGACACACCTGATCACCCAAGATGCTCAGCAGAATTGGAAGCAGACGCCGGAGAACAGGGAGCAGCTGATCTTCTGTTAGTTCTGATTGAACGAAATCGGTGAACATCTGCATGGATCCATGGATTGCGTCTGACGAGCCGGATGAAAGTAGCTGGATTAGGTTCTCGAGTAGCTCGGGGTATTCATCTGGCCAATCGCATTCGGAGATGGCGGAAAGAGTGTGAGCCTGGTACCCGACCTTTAGGAACGAAAGATGCTAAACATCGAGGGCTACACGCACAGATGATGTCCTGATCTTGCGATTTGAGTCTGAAAGGCCCTGAAAGACAGCGGCGCGAACTCGCGACTTAATCTACAGAACAGATTGGCACGGTCCGTCAGTCTCCAGTGTATGATGCAGTACACACCTCTGGTGGTGGTGCATTTCCGCGGAAGTTTGAAAAGTAAGGGGACCATCTTTCTTTGACATACTTGCGGAGGATGATGCTCGCGGAGTGCTGGCGGGGGCTATCAAGTCACTGCACGCGAATTAACAGAAGGATGCTTATCTGGCGGAGTGCCACGTCCACATCCTGAGATACTATAAGCTGTGCAAGAGCTAGTCCCGCCTCTGTTTCCTGCCTTCAGCATCCGTGCTGTGCGTCAGGATCCCTCGTACGTGCCTGGGTGTTCGGACAAGTTTGCGAGCTTGAGCTCGGCAGCGATACGCCTGTTGTTGTCGGGGGAGAGTGTCTCTGCTAATGTCTGCACAATTTCTGATGCCATCTCTAGGTTTGTTGTGGAAAGCCAAGGAAGAAAACTGAAGAAGGTGGAGGTCGCGGTCAAAAGTAGTACGTTCGACCGTTTTCTTTGACCACGCGCTCGCCGCGTCGCGTAACGTCACAAGTAACAGATAACACTAACGCGTTACAATGTCAAAGCGTTACGTCACATTCCAAACTTGAATATCCCGAGCTGTATTTCGTGGTGGAATTGCGACTGAAGCGGTCGCGATATTCTGAAGACCGCACAGCACCAAGCTTGATACTGTCAGCATCTGTTTACTTGTGTTCCCCCTTGCTGTTGTTCTACTTACGAGCGAACTGGTCTTTCGTACCCGGTGAGATTAATATTTATATACATCGAATACTCTGTTATATATTATCACTGCGCAGACTCTCTAGGTATCTCGTCAGCCCTGAAAAATTTAACTTACGCCGATGCTTCAACACAACATTATTTCCATAGTATCCCTTCAAGATCTGCCAGTCTGTTGGTACCCAGCACATCCGCATCCGTCGAGACGGGGTCAGAGACATAATCCAGCCGTCCTCCATGTAGTACATGGGCCAAACGCGGCGCGAAAGCCAGGGAAGCGGTGTTGACGCCGTCTTTGCGTCCGCGTCGGGAAGGGCCCAGAGCCGAACGACCCGCCCGTCGTCGTTGACTACAAGACCCGAGCCATCAGGGGATAGACGGATGGCGCGATACCAAGTATCTGTACTGAGGATGACGAGACAAGCAGCCGTTTCATCGTCCCAAAGACGTACGGTATTGTCTTCGGAGGAGGAAATGAGAACACTCCCCTCAGGAGTAAAGGCAACCGACCATGCTGACTTCGTATGTCCCGCGAACGATTGGAGCGATGAGCCGTCCTCAGATTTCCACACCAAGATACGACCACCTTCACTCCCCGACGCGATACGTATTCCGTCAGGAGAGAAAGCCACTGAAGAAGCGGTCGTGTAATGTCCTCTACACGTCGCCAACGACTGCCCGGTGGAAGCGCCCCAAACGATGACAGTTTTGTCGGCGGAGCTTGTTGCGATGCGTCTGCTATCAAGGGAGAAAGCAACGCAGTAGATTGCGCCCTCGTGCCCCACGAA